CAACCAAAAACATCATAATGCCCCAACACGAAGAAATAAAAAAAATGGAAGCATGGATGAAATATTACTAATTAATTAATCAGTATGTTCCTAAATGTACTGATTTTTTATTTGTTGAAAGCTGCTGGGTTTCAGTCTGTGTGAAAAAATGTTGTAGACAAAAATGGGACAGTTTTCTGCCTTTCAGTTTCTAAGTTACAAATGTACTTTGAGCCTTTCTGTTATGCTGTCCAAAAAGATATCTGGACAGAATCCTACTGATTTATTACAAGCCAGGGACAAGACACATCACTCTAAAACAACGTAGTGTTTTGTTGCAATCTAATTCGTTGTTTTGATTTATGCCTGTGCAAGAGAACATGGTATTTGATGGCACACACCACCATAAAGTCTGCATTCTTAGATCACAAGTTCCCAACCTTTCCCTGTAAACTTTACTATACTAAACACATTAATAACTGTGATGTTGCAATATTACAAAATGTCTACAACTTTTGTAAATACCATATCAGTGTTTTTTGTCTAGCAATCCTCTTAAAAAGTTTTGAAGTGTAATTTTTTTGGTCACACAGGCTTCTCATGGTAAACTGTCAAGAACTAGCCAACACTGAAATAGTTTTTATATATGACTAGAAAAAAATTACAAAATATGAAATTACTTCACTTGCCTCAAAGACTAAAATAATTAAACCTGTGTTTTTTTTGATGAACTAGAATAAAAACAGAAACATCCTGGGCAAAATACAGTGAAACCTCAATATAATGCACCCACTAACACTAGATTTGGATACACCATAGGTACTGTAACTATTCCACCAACACCTGCATTATACAAAGGTTCCACAGTATATTTTCTGGTCTTCAGAAATGGTCATAGCAGTAATCCAATCCAAAACAAATGGACTGTAAAAGTGATCAGCAGTATAACCTGCATGGCTTGAAAGCAAGGTAAAGATTTATTGAAGCTTTAACCTTAAAATGAACAGGGCATTGTGGAGGGATCAGACATCAACCAGCACTGACCAACCAAACCACTGAGCACGGATTTAGGCGAGGGTGAAAAAGAACAGGGTGTCCAGATCTATATACCAAGCATGTGCTGTGTTTGACCTCAATGCATGTTGGTATAACCCACATATATTTATATTTCATTCTTCCCTCATTCAATGTTCACATACTTACAGGCGAGGTAAACAGCGTTGGTGAGATTCCCCCTCCTATCAACTGGGCTGCCTGTGTCGATGTCGCCGTACCAGGACCCACTCTCTGGCGTCCCGTGCTCGTGATGGAGCCAGGGTGGATGTTGGGCTGATTTCCTGTTTCATCATGATAACAAGCTATGGGTGATTCACCACCAAACCTTTCCAAAAACCATGCTGCCCCCACGCACAAAAAGTAATCAATTGTACTGTGTGCTACCCAGAAATCAAGACAACACACTTAAATGACTTTAAAATTCCAAAAACTGCATAATGTAATTAAAAATATGTTTCAAAATTATTGTTGATTCTGTACAGCCGGTGCTGACATGATTTCTAACTGTTTCTGTATAAAACATGAACAACATAAGTCTACTGCACATTCAGACCACTCCGATAAAATTTAATTTTTTTCAGAATTAAATGTCTCATTTTAGTTATTCAAAAAGATCTGACATTCATTATTTATAAATGTTAACAGACGGAACGTTACAATATAAGCTTATAAAACAAAGACTATGCATTTATAAAATACACTGGACAATCTGCAAAGTGAGGTTCCAAATTCAGTATTAGCTTCTGAGTTTGAAGACCAATTAACTTCTGGCACACATTACTTTCCAGTCACTCAAACAAGATTGGAAAGATGTACTCTTTGAAGTACAATAAAATTCCGAACGTGTTCTTCATGCCACAACGCAGGTAACTTCACCGACAACTGTGGCTAAAATAATTGCAGACCTGAATCCCTTTTACTCAAAAAGAAATAACAAAGGTAACAATGTGGCCCAATGACAACAGTTCACAATGTTGTAACTGTGCATCTGTGTTCTGATAACAAACCCATTTTTGCCTGGATCTTCTGAGTGGTTTCTTACTTTCAGGTTTCCAACCAACATTCTGCATACATTTCACATCTCCCTCATATGTGCTACATTCCCTACCCATCTCATTGTCCTTAATTTTATCATCCTAATAATTTGGCAAAGACTACAAATAATTGAGCAATTTTCTCTCCTTGGTCCAAATATTCTGTCAAACACTGTTCTGAATCATCCTCAACCAGTGTTCTTCCCTTAATCTGACAGACCAGTTTCATACCCATGCTAAACAAGAGGTAAAATTATAGTTTCGTATATTTTAATCTTTACATTTTTACATAGCAGTTACAAAGACTGCAAGGTAGCAAGCATTCCCAAATTTAGCCTCTCTTAAATTTCCTTGTAAATCCAGTTTTGATTTATGGTCCCTCAATATTTTAACTCTGCCACATTTTCAGAAGATTAATTAGTTACCTTTATATAATGAGACAGATGTGTCTAATGCTATTGCAGAAAAGATTCTCATACAAAATCATGAGATAATTGCTCCTCAAAATCAAGCATCCTTCAAGAATTCAGCTGTATTGCTCATCCATGATATTTCTGACATGGAATAACAAATTTCAAGAGAACACACAAAAAGCATGTTATGATAATAATATGTATACAACATATGAGAATTTATACTGTCACCATAAGTGCATAAAATATTTAAAATGGCGTGTTCCTTCAAAGAATGAGTTGCTTACCCAGTCCAATGAGGTTTGAAGCTGTCTGTGAAGCATCCATAGCCACTTCCCCTAGGCCATTGACAGATATTCCATTCACCATGCTGACGGCTGTAACAACAAAGTGCCGTGTTCTGTAAAACAAGTGCTGGAAAGTATGATTCTCAACTTCCTCTGAATGGAGCAATTCTCCTGAATACAGAAATACAATTTTCACATGTTTGGTTCACACATAAGGGAAGTTATGTAGAAATAAAAATTAATATTTCCAATTTCAAGTCCTTTTATTCTGCAAATAATTTGCTATTTACAGTGGAAATTTGTATGTATTAACACAGTCTTTCATTTAACTTACATAGAACAATCTGAAATGTTACATGGCAACCAATGTACATTAAATATCACCAAATCAAAATGTGATTACTGGTCATATTCAAGTTACACATAATACAGTATAGTTAACAACTTATTTCCTGGGTCTTAAGCGTTTTAATACATCTGAACATAACATTATTTACATTGCAGTTTCTTTGGCTGAATTCAGGAGAATCATAATCTACCAATGTGAAATAGCTGTTGCAGCTTATAGCAGTTATTTTCTGAAATGGAAGAACAAGACATATAACAAATACCGAAACCTGTAAAGATTTCTAACCTAAAAACACAAAAGCAAAACATGACTATAATATGCGGACATTACAACAGCATAAAATATTACCTCAAATTTCACATGCTGTACTAAATTTTGGAAAGACAACCATAAACGGAAACACTTGCAGGCACTGATATAACCTTAAGGCACAGAGAAGCTAAGGCACTCTTAATACACACCATTCTGTTACAAAACTAATTATATACTAAAAAAGAAATTGCAGAAACTTTTTAATTTAGGCTTGGGGAATATTTATATGTAGGTAATAGTCTAAGAAATTAATTCTCAAAAATAAAATATAAAAATATAAAAATTTGCCTCATACAAATGACTTACTTTAAGAAATAAATACACATATACTTTGTTGGTGTACTTAAAAATGCTTTTCCAAACAAATACACTGTAATTAACTAATATAACAATGCCAAATGGTACGATGATTGTAAATTAAGAATTCAGAGGAATGTGTAAGCAATCACTGATTCTGATTCTGATCTGAGATTCACACAATCTACCTACTACATCACACAGTGTCACACAACCCAGAAGACCACAACTGATAACTTAAAGACATTGTAGTGTTCTCAAGGATTATGGAAAATATCAAATAAGCTGTCACGACAGTTGGTCCAGACATGGATGCAGAAAGAGTTATGACTAATACACTACTACATTTAGTTACTTATAAAATGTATCCAGATAACGTATCTGTAGACAAAACACATTTGTGGGGGTAGTTTAATGGAACAGGAATCAGTGACAATGAAGAAGAAGAGTACAGGTAAATATATTTGAGCTGTCAGTAATATAGAAATGTATGAGCTACCAGATAAAGGTTATTGTATAATTACAACATTTATTTTATGATAAAATACTTTCTAACTTCTGAAAGAAAAAAGTAGAAGCAACATGACACAGCAATCTGAATTGCTATCTTCACTCAGCACAACAAACTTCATCATAAAATAACTCACTTTACTGTTCTTTCCATTAAACCTCTTCCAATCTAGTACACAGCGTAGAGATTTCTGCTCCATTCTACATATAAGACATAACACAGGCTCTGGTCCAACGCAAGACCACCAGCTACACACAGAAAAAGTAAGACATACAACAATGACCCTGAGCAGTGTTTGAATCCGAGCGTGGTCCAGAAGTATGGCATCCAATTGGTGACTAGAATCATGCTCCTCTGTGTGGCCTCTCATTGCTACTTATAATGATTTGGAAACATGCCAGGAGTTCTGAGAAGAATTTTCCTTCAAACCTGTTTTAAAACGTGCCATCAGAAAGGTCCACGAATATCAGCAAGGTATGTAACTGAAAGGGACACACAAAATACTGCCTTATGCTGCTGTCAACCGTAACTGAAAGGGACACACAAAATACTGTCTTATGCTGCTGTCAACCAACCAGGGGAAACCCAAAGACCTATAAATGAAAGCACAGAAATTTTATCAAGCTCAAGAAATAAAGCCGATACAGAAGCAAAGCAGAGGAAACGAAGCGTATCTGCATGTCTCGTCACCAGAATACAAGACAAAATTATAACACAAACATGGCGAACACATTTTTAAAATGAAACGAAGCGTATCTGCATGTCTCGTCCCCAGAATTATAACACAAACATGGTGAACACATTTTTAAAACATGATAAACAGTTCAAATATTTAGGAACAGTAACAAATCAAATTGCATTAGAAAACAGATTCAATGAAGAAAGTTCTCGTTAACATTTAACTGAGAATATTTTGTCTTCCCGTCTGTTACCTACAAATTTAAAGATTAAAACATAATGGATCCATAATTTGCAATACTCACTAGACAGTATTAGGTTGATCAAATCAGTGCAGACATAATGCCTGGATAACTGCTGGCATTTATTCAATAATGTTTACAGATGTTCTACTCATCACACAAATTCAAACTGGAGAGAGCAAACTGACCCGTAGCTCAAACAGTAGGGGGCATGAGCCACAGCTCACCTTCTTGTAAATTAAATATTATTGTGCCTCAACAGAAGAAAAAAATTGTGTTAAAGTTGCACATAACAAAAATTAAACCATTAGTGATCCTCCACTTTAAACCTGATAATGGAGGCAGTGGAATCCGCTAAACATTAGCGCAACCAAAATACGACACAGCGCAATAACCCAGAATATCACTGACAGTCACATCACCATGGAAACCTAGTCTTACATAATCAGACATGTTGAATATCACAAACTGACCTTTAACCTACTGCATAAACCATACAAGTCAAATGTAAGCAATCATGTCATTCACAGCCAGTTATTATAGATGTGGAATCACCTATTCTATCACAGTGAGTACAAAACACACATAAAATTTAAAGTAAAACGAATACTAAAATTTGTGTCAATGTTTAGTGTACATTGGCAAGTACAAATATGCTGCTGCCAAACAACAAAACATTGCATGTTGTGGCAAACATCCAGAAAAATGCCAACTGTGGTCTTCTGGTGGTAAGTGTATTTGTACCCTGAAGATGGATGCAATACATTCCTCACTTGTAACTACCTACAAGATTAAATGCTGTCATGACCCAAATGACCACAATCAACACCTTCACTGTCTTCCAGTAAAAATTCTGGTCAATGATATTTGTGAAAAGACGCAAAAATCCTTGTAAATTATGTAGTTATGTCTTATTGTCACATTAGAATGAAACAAATGCACTTTCTTTTAGCAGTTACGTCTTTCTACAATTTTTTTCTTGCAATGTAATGCAAAATACCAGAACAATAAAATAAAATTGATAAGAAAGACAAATTAAAATCAGGGAGAAAAAGTAATAAAGTCATGTAATTATGAACTACCTATGCAGAACTCCATGTTAATGCAGATGCTCACTTGTTGGCTTTTTCTGTGTCATTTGGCACCCACCAATCTACAAGTTTGCACAGCCAAACACCATACACTTCCCAGTAAATGCAATCTTCTCACAAACTGCTTTGACTCCTTAATAGGTATCTTCAACCTATGTCATTAAAAATATGTGGCAAGCAAATTGTTTGCTCTCTCATGCCATCTTCCTTCTATTCCTGTCATCAAGCATTTGTATGACTGAAGGGACATCTGATTCCTTGACAAATCAACATAATAAAGCAATTTAAAAGCCTTCAACCCCAACTGCATGGTATGTGTTTTGTTCTATACATGTCTTGCATATGTCAATGTGAGTTATAATGAAGTAAATATGATATTCATCTGTTAACTGTACAGGCCCTCACACAAGATGAGAAATGAGGATCATTTATGATATTTAGGTTCTCACAGTGGCGAGGATGTTGACACATCTTTTCAGTTGTAACACCATGCAGAATTGTAGGTACATACTAACTTAATCTCCTTTATCAGCCATAAAATGGAAGCACTATGTTCCTCTGAAATGCTGATAGCCATCTACAAGTCCACATGGCATTACAACCCAGAAGACCAGCATTGACACAGGGAAAATTAATTTGCTGTCATGAAATGGCCTGTATAGTTCAACAGTAAACCCTTGCAAAGGGCAATGAGGCACAGTCGAAGCTGCAAGGCTTGAACTCCATCAACAGGAGTTTTTATCTATATTCTCCCATTGTGCAGATATACTAGTGGATCTTCAGAGCTCACATCAATTCATACATCTGAAAGATGCTGATGCAATGATCTTGTCTCCTGAAGATTCATTATACCATTCACTTAACCCGGTGGCAATGTAACGAGTATCATGCAACACACATCATGCCATATGCATGAAATGAAACCACACACACTGAAAATATTGATCATGGTCTCAAGGACGTGACACAATGTACCTTTCAGATACACATCCTATACATTTGTGAGGTCTGACTTCTTCCTAGAGTTTCCTTTCTTTGATGTACATGACTTCCACGTAAAGCTCCTTCCACAACACAACTGTCCATGGCGATTGTAGGTCTGTACAGTCAGGACTACAATTCATACTGAACATTCTGTCAAGTGATGAAGCTGTAGCCAACAAGCTGCAACCATTATTCAAACGTGACAATGCAATCATGACTAGCAGTGTTACGTTCGTCAATAGCCTGATATGTATTAACCTCCACAGGGTCATCTTCAGGGGCACTTCTTTGTTTCTTAGTTGTAATTTGATGGTTAAATTTGTACAAAGCAAATTTTTATAAATCATGCAAATTTATGAAAAATCAAGCTATAATTTCCTTTCACATCTAACATTTCAGGAGTCTGGAGATAAATACTATTTGAACCACTTTGCTACATGACAGAATCTATACCAAATTCGGACAGAACACTATCATACCTAGTTACATCACCTGAGTTAAAGTATGGCTGCCAATTCTGCATTACTGGGGATAAATCCCCTATTCCAGCACAGTGTAAGAGTTCGGAGAGCATTCCATACTGAGAGGTGTATAATCTAGATCAGTGTTCCACAAACTTTCCTCATCATCAGCAAACCTTAATTTCCCAAATATGCTTAATGGCACACCACAAAGTTTCGCCACACAAAAGGGGAGTACAAAACTATATATATGGCCAAAAAGATGTATTTACATATAAATACTTGCCTATAAGAATGTAGGCATAGAAAAACAAAACATTACATCTGCTGGATAAAACTATTGATGATGAACCAATGTGTGAGGAGTGTGTATTACAAATTCTAATTACAAAAAGTTAAGATATTGCCTTTCCAACTATAATGTGTGGATCTCATAAAAATTCATGGCATGCCTGAAAGCTTGTCATGGCAAACTGATCTAGACCAAGATCTCTAATAATAAACATCTTCCTCTGACCCCAGATGGCCTGTGACATTTCTCCTGCTGGTACTGCAGTTATATCTCCAAGCTGATTTGAGGCTTCATGTGGCAGAGGATGAAGGACTGCATCTTAAACTGTAACCTGGAAGTTCATGCACCTCCACATGACTGCCTTTCTTCTTGTGTCTGTGTTTGCCTGACAAGCCTGCAACAACAGAGGAACATATTATGAATCGAGATCACAAGATAATATACATAGAGAAACAGAAAGTCTATCATAATGTGATACAGTTCAAAAGCTTACTGGGACGTGCTGTATTTCCACACATATGTTCAAATTATGTCACAAATGGTCAGCTTATTATCCTAATCCCTACATCCCCAGTTTTCAAGTTCTGCCAGGGGCCAGCCCCATGTGCAGAAGAACATAGCTAAGAAATCAAGGAAATGATTCCCTGAACTGAGTGAACTTGGAAAAACGTGGACCAAACATCTGATGTACCATAATGTAACTTCATGGTACACAATCCTCCACTGACATACAAGACTTATTCAACCAATCAAGAGAGTCCATGCTGTTACAAAAGATTTGACACATTCATCAAAAAAGTCCACCTGAACCCTATCATGAGCCAGTTCACATCTTCAAAACCTACTCCAGCATTCATTTTATTAATATCCTTCCACACGCATGTTAATCAGTCTAGCATATAACAGCCATACGATCAATAAGTTACACAGCGACTGAATCCCATCATCTGGCTCCAACACAACTGAAAATCTTACCACTCTATCTTCTATTAAGTATGACACCTTACCAGTACGTTAAAATGCAAAGATTTTTGTCAGTTACAACCAAGTATCAAAATGTACTTGTATTATATTACATTTTACATAATGTTAGTAGTAGCAGCAATGTTAAGTGGGTCCCATGCACACTATGGGACTGGAACACTTTCAGATTGTAGATGACCTCCAGATAAGAAGGGTACCTGCAAGTCTTACTGAATAACTATTCGTGACCATCCAGCATGGAATGGTCCCCCAGCTTGGGAGTTGAGCGGGATGTTAACAACTCCCCATTGTAAAAACTATCATGTTACAAAATGTTTTAGACCAATGACAGGAGGCTGGAGCAAAGTGCATAATGAGGAGCTCCATAATATGAAATTTCCACCAAATATTATTTAGGATGATCACGTCAAGGAGGGTGAGATGGGTAGGGTATGCAGTGCATACAAAATTTTGGCCATAAAGTTTGAAGGGAGGGGAAGGGAATGGGGCAAAATAAATCAGACTAAATAAAAATATACAAGACTGAATAATGGGCAGTTCTTCCTATTGTTCAACAACTGTTAAACAAAATGTATACATGACATTAACTGAATGAGGAAAATGAACAAGTTGTCAGTATTTATATATCTGCTAATCATATATGACCAGGAATGTTTTATGAAGAAAGAGCCTTATAATGTGAATCTATATTCAAAGTCACATTTACATAGTGAATTAATTAAACTCATTTGTACCAAAGCAAACATTAATTGGCAGAATTTGTAACAGAAAAAAATGTTCTTCAGTGACTATGCACTGTTGTAACCCAGGACAAAGATACATTATGTAATGTATGTTTGTTTTTCCTGCTCCTATACATTCAAACACTTTTGCAATCTTAAAAATAGGTGGACTCACATCTAACAGCAAATTAGAACTCCGATAAGTAGAAGAGATATTTCAGTTACAACATGCTGCATTGTACTATATGAAGTCACTAATCAGAATTAATATACACCAAGGCCAATTAGCATCCTACTGATTGAAATATATCATACTTGAAGATCTTCATTACACAAAGCATGCCAGCTATTTTCTGTTTAATTTTCAGAATAAGCCTTAAATGTATTCATATCACCATGCTTCTTTTACAAACAGTAACTAACAGATCACAAAGATGCATGCCCTGTTGCCAAACTAATCTGCCCCTCACTTCTGCTACTAGGTTTAAGGATGATGAATATATACTGACAAGAATTAGGAATAGTCAATCCCTGATATATTGCCCCTCTACCCTCACACTGCACCCTCAAAAGCCTCAGAACAGAAATTCCTTATATACTTTCAAAGTGAATCCCCTGGTAAAATACCACCCCTACTAGACACTGTATGTCAATGTCTGTGACAATAAAAATGTACTGTTAAATGATGTCTAATACAGGGCAATGCCATTTTGTTTTCAACGGAAATACAAACAATATTCAGCTTTATTGTACATATACTGTAAACCAACAATTCTGTATTAATAAAAAGAACATACTCAGGTTAAGGAACCAACTATAGTGACTTGGAAAAGATAAAGATTGTTACTTATGGTCAGTGGTGTAGATGGCACCATTCCAAATCCAGGCGGTTACAGTGAACAAACCTGCTGCTGGAAGGGACAGTGATTTGAATGTGGAAACAAGGAGAAGCTGCGTACAGTAACAGGTTATATTCCAAGAATTCTGGTAAAACAGTTGCAGATCCACCCGTTTTCTGCCGTTTCACAACGTAGCAGAATCTTCCACAATAAAACCATTTTCTGTACATTTTGAGTAACTTACATACAGTATGCAAATGTACTTACTTTGAACGCAATCACCAGGCTGGCCACAGTAAGAAAGTACTACACACATACAGGTACATACTGCATGTGCAATCACAATAAGTCACCAACAATGACTGACACAGGGAAAAGGGCAGTGTAAAGTGTTAGAGGGGGGGGAAAAGACACGTCTGCAAAGAACAATAACCCCATTCAAGTAAGCAAAACATTACCAATTACTTGTCTCTTTATGGAGTAAACGCATCGACTGGTCAATAAAATCTTCTCGTGCAATCAGCCGTGTCAAGTGGTCACAAGAAGCGACCAACATTTCGGGAATCAGCTCCGTCCCCACCATCAGGGTTCTCATATCACAGTGTCATGATGACATCAGAACCCTGATGAGTGACGCAGCTCATTTCCTAAGATTTAATTGAGTTTAGTCGCTGCAAAAACTTCAAATCATACATCAATTGGCGCTGTGTTGAAATTATTCCGAGTTATATACATCCAATAAACAAAACCACTTTCAATTTACCACTACCCCTGCTTTAAGACCAATATTGGTGTTGGACAAACGATTATAGTTTAAAAACTAATGATAATCAAGAGTAAGAACAGAAGAAACAAACATATCAGAGTAGTCAGAATGAAGGATTTATAAACAGCACAAACTTTCACAATCCAGTAACAATTAGAAGGAACTTACACAAAGAAGAATGACACATGCAAACTGAAAGAAAAGTTCCCAGACACAACTAAGCACAAAGGCTCCAATACATAGAAGACTACATTTATCACATAAGTAAAGTTACTTATGTAAAGAAATACAGAAGAACTGAACATTACACATTTTAAGGTGCATAGATCTATAAAATTCGGGAGTTCTTAATAACATTCCCCATTATAAAACCTTGTTGTGTTAAATGCAAAAATTAAATTCCTGTTTAATAACATGCAAAATATTTTACATTCAGAAACAAGGCCATCTTACACACAAAAATGCATGAGACTCCCCATCACCAAAAAATATTCCACACTGAGCTACAGGCGTTAGATTAAAAATCCTTTATGGTAATTCAAAATGCATGAAGCTGTAAACTTTCAATCACTAAGATGGCCACTTGAATTTGCAATTATCAATTACACAAATTTCAAGAAAACACAATACTAAAGCAAACAGGAACAATTAACCCTCTCATGAGCCCTAAAATGCAATTTCCAAACATACAATATTATCTGTTCATACAGCCACACCGATTCACCAAATCACAATAGTCTGTGAACAATATATGCAATTACCTTGCAGTGCCATCCAGCGATGTGATCAGCCAACCCCACCACAAGCTCCTAATTTCTCTTCTGCTGCTTGCCCACGAACATTTGTAGTTCAAATTCATTCAAGTTTGCTACAAATCTTGTTAGTACACGCACAATCCTGTCAAGCTTTGTTACATATTAAACATTATATGTATTTATAAACGTGCTTTTAATTCTAGAACTCCTAAAAATTTACCTCCCCATGAACAATACTTATTAGATCCCGTACCTCCACTTGGAGATATGATAAAATGCTGCCTCTCACATGGTTTCATACTTACAAAGAGTATACAACGTAAAATACAACCCAAAAATACTCATATACTACGGCACAAAAATGAAATCAGAAGCAGGTACACCTGCACATAATTGACTCTCACAACCTCCCCACGTCACTCAAGAAGGCAGCTGCTAATGCCAGCTGTGCAGGTGTGAACATGGTGTAGTCACAAGCAGAATGTATATTTAATCTCAAAAATTACTTTGTATTGTTATCATCTGCTGCTGTTCATGAAGCATTTCGCAATGTGTATCCTGACAAGGAATTACTGAATAATATAACAGCACACCGACTGGTAATAAAATTTCAAGAAACAGGAAACATCTGTCTGCGACAAGTGCTTATCAACTGACAAAATGGCTGCAGTGATTTCAAGCAGTGCATTCGCTGCTACAACAGGTACGGCTGAAAGAATTCAATATTGCCATTGATTTCATTGTTTTGCATGTAAATTGGCTTATGTGTACTAGTTAGGGTTCTTTTAAATGGGGCATCCTGAATTAACTGGAACAAAAGTCTTAGGGAAAGTTGAATGTAATATAATCCTCCAATGAATCTAAGGAGAAAAGACTGTATAGCATGTTTCATTAGTTACACTTTGTTTAAAACACTGCTAATATTTATCACTACCTAGTCAGATATAGACTAACTCCATGTTGTGGAGTCCCTCCTGAGAAGATAAACAGTTGCTCAGCTAACCAAACTATTCTCCAAAGATGGCTGTCTTCCGTGTAGTCTGGTAACTTACCAAATTGCATGGTGCTACAATCCAGAAGACAGCCATCTTTGTACTAACCACCACAACCTCAAATCCTTCTCCAAATTTTATGGAACCCAAAGGACTATTACTGCATTCAAAACAGTCCACCAGCAGTCCCTACCCCCAGTCCACTCCCTCCAACCCTATTTTCTTAAGAATAATTTTAATATAATCTTGAAGATGGCTGTCTTCTGGGTTGTTGGGCCATGTAACCTGGTAGAAGTTAACCAACATTTCAGAGGTCCTTGCTGCATCCATTATCAG